GCTGCGTGACCGCGACCACGTGACCACTCTCAAGAAGCCCGCTACTGAGCAGTCGAAAGTGTCAGGTATGAAAACAAACTCTTGGTCGAAAAGAATAACCTAATAACAGAAGAACTAAACCAGGTCTAAACCAGAACTAAACCAGGTCTAAACCAGAACTAAGCCAGGTCTAATTCAGGTCTAAACCAGGTCTAAATCAGAACTAAACCAGGTCTAAACTAAGACTAAACGGGTTTAGTGGTTTACTACTTTTTTATAACGAAATACAATTCATATTATGCAGAATTGAGTTAAGCATTTTGGCTCGACTTTCCACAATATTTTCTGTTTTTCATGTGGCCCCATGGAAAAACAGAATTGCCCAGGCCTGATGTCGGCTGTAGCTTTTCTGTACTACTACTACTTAGGGGTGTCAAATTATCGCGTTAATTGCAATTAATCATATACAGTCATATTTAGCGTGTTATGTTTTTTAATCGCGTTAATCTCATTTTTAATCTCTAACTTTACTGTTTCTGTATGCGAGTTGCTTTATTATAAAATCTGTATTTATGTGTTGTTAGGACAGCAACACAAAAATAACACATTTATTTTTTATTTCGGTAATTCCGCTCATTGCCGGAAACCCACACAGAACGCGCGCAGTAAGAGCGATGTAAACGTCATTAAAGTTGGCGGCGTCAGTCGCACAACGGACGAGGTCGAAGAGCCAGTAGAACAGAGCCAGCAGTGCTGGCAGTAGTTACTGCGAGGACACCGACGTCCTCCCGTCCGCCGCATGTGGACCATGTTTTCTCGCGTACGCTGCGTAAACCGCACTTCCTCCTGTGCGCCTCTAAACCAGAACTAACACCAGGACTAAAACTGGGACTAACCCAGTCCAGGACTAATCCAGGATTAAACTAGGACTAAACCAGGTCTAAACCAGGACTAAACCAAGGCTAAACCAGAACTAAACCAGGTCTATACCAGAACTAAGCCAGGTCTATACCAGAACTAAGCCAGGTCTATACCAGGACTAAACCAGGTCTAAGCCACGTCTAAACCAGGTCTAAACCAGAACTACGCCAGGTCTAAACCAGGTCTAAACTAAGACTAAACAGGTTTAGTGGTTTACTCCTTTTTATAACGAAATACAATTCATATTATGCAGAATTGAGTAAAGCATTTTGGCTCGACCTTCCACAATATTTTCTGTTTTTCATGTGGCCCCATGGAAAAACAGAGTTGCCCAGCCCTGATGTCAGCTGTAGCTTTTCTGTGTTCTGTTCATCCTACATCGTACGTAGGCACATCACATTATTATTAAACAACTTGAACTGTATAGCAAAGAAAGCTCTATCTTTCTTTCGGCTAGATGTAGGCCTAAGCCTTTTACAAGCATCCTTTACATAGGCCTACATGTTACTCATGCGTAGTTTTTACAGTGTAACAATGGTTCAAATGGATAAGTGCCCAACCATATAAAATGTCCTTAAAAGACTACAAAAGACAAGACAAGATTTAAAACGGCAATTTACTATACTATCTATAACATTTAAAGTTGAAACTGTGAACGTTTCAAAGTCAAACTGAAATAAAGAACTTTTTTCTAACATAAATGCACCAGCAAAAGTGTGAAATAGGTGTGCAAGAACAAAAATGCTCAAAATATAAGAGAATATGCTAAAATAAATGTTTAACTCTGTGTAGATACTAGGGATGGGCATTCGATGAAATTTTCTTAATCGATCGTCGGAAGAATTAACGATCGATTATCGATTAATCATTAACGTGTTTATATTAAAATGATCATCATTATTATTACTATCTGCACTACTTATCTGCATAAATAAATTCAACTTTACAACATATAAACCGTAATGACTCTAGAGCCACATCAATCCGTTTGAGATTATAATGTGTTTAATGCAGTTTTGCGCAACTCTCACAAAAACGAAACTTAAAACCGCATCGCTAATTTGCAGAAACTAAGCGAAGATAAAACTACAGCTCTTGTGCGCTGATGCAGTCAACTTCTGTTGGATTAAAAAACATGATTCAGTGGAATACAGGTTAGTGTGACCATATTTGCGTTTGTCAAAACCAGGACACCGTACGGGGGGAGGGAGGTGGGGACTCGTCATCGACATTGCGCGACTCTCACCTGGCAAAACTTTTTCCCACTGGACACCGAAGCATATGTGCTGCTTTATACACTGTGCACATGGACTCACACTTGTCCCGAACGCAACGGAAAGCGTGGAATTTCTTGTACAAATCATCGTTAAATACGCATTTGCGTTGCAGACTGACCGACTGTTTGTGTTTGCTCGCTCCTTCTGAGTGCAGAGAGACACATGTACGGACCCCTGTTTGGTCACGCTACGCACAGCAACCTACATTCGGTTTGTCGATTAAAATGAACGTAATCGATGAAATTCTTAATGATCAATTATCGATTAATCATGCCCATCCCTAGTAGATACATGAGTTATGATACTTAGTTTGAGCTGTA